TCAGACAGGTTTGAGGGGCAGTTCCCAAACCCCGCCAGAGGGAGTCAGCACTTCCCATTCAGTCTGTGTTCCCTCCTGGCTGTGGTTGTGCCTTTGGGGTCACCCCAAAGAGTAAACACTGGAGAGGTTTATTACCCCCAAAATCCAGAAAGTAGGGGCCTCACCCTAGAACTCTCTATTGTCAGATGGGTGTGGCAGGGCAGTCTGGTAGTAGAGATGATGGTGACCTCCTCTTTGCCTTGTAAACACGGGTTCTTGGAAGTTCAGCCACTTAGCAGACACATTTGAAAAACAGAGCTTGAAAATAAACCCAAACAAAAATTCATGAACTATATATACTCACTCTCAGTGGGCTGGGCAGGTGTGAGCAAGATCAGGCCTTTGGACACTGGGAGGAATTGCCCTGACAGCAGGAACCACTTCACACAGACCAATGTCCCCTCCAGAGGGGCTCCCACTATGCTCTTCTCCAGTGTTGGGCTGTGAGCCACCTAAAGATTTTTCCAACACCTCTCAGTATCTCTGTACAGTCCCTCAGGAGATTTATTCCAGAATATAGAGTCAGGTAGAACAATCTCCCCAGATAACCTGGAATGCTCTCTCCAGCCTAAGGATGGAGCATGCTTGCTTTCTTTTTGCCTTGGCTCCCAGGACGCTTCCAGTCACATCTCTTGCTGTATGAGACTTTCCAGACCATATATTTACTGCCTCCAACTTTCTTCATCCTCATTTATAATTTTTTTGTTGGCTTAATCTGGACACATGCCATCATGTATGTGCATCATCTCAACTCCATGTTGGAAAGAGGTGGCAGGTAAATCAACAGTTAAGTTTCACTCAGGAAGGGGAGGCCAAAAGTACAATCTCGCTAGCATTTTGAGGCTGTGGGAAATCCCCCTCCACCACCGCTTTTTTTTTTAGACATTTTCACTCTTGTTGCCCAGGCTAGAATGCAATGGTGCCATCTCAGCTCACCACAACCTCCCGGGTTCAAGCGATTCTCCTGCCTCAGCCTCCTGAGTAGCTGGGACTACAGGCATGTGCCACCATGCCCAGTAATTTTGTATATTTAGTAGAGATGGGGTTTCTCCATGTTGGTGAGGCTGGTCTGGAACTCCCGACCTCAGGTGATGCGCCCACCTCGTCCTCCCAAAATGCTGGGATTACAAATGTGAGCCACCACACCCGGCCAAAATCCTCTTCTGATTACTCCCCTTTGCCCCCAAGTGCCCTGAGAGCAGAAAGCTAGCCTCTTCTCTTTCTTCTCCTCCCTGAAGCAGGAAGAGCTTGAGCAGCCTTTGGGGTCCTCCTTCCTCTCTTACCCTCAGACTCAGCTCCCCTGGCAAATTCTCCCAAGAGAGAAGAAGGAAGAAACAGCATTTCTTTGGGGACAGTGTTGTGGGTGGAGGCCTTTCTTTACCTTCTTTCTGTTTGTTTGTTTTTGAGATGGGGAGTCTCGCTCTGTCGCCCAGGCTGGAGTGCAGTGATGTGATCTCAGCTCACCACAACCTCCATCTCCTGGGTTCAAGCGATTATCCTGCCCCAACCTTCTGAGTAGCTGGGACTACAAGCCTCTGCCGCCATGCCTGGGTAATTCTTTTGTATTTTTAGTAGAGGCAAGGTTTCACCATGTTAGCTAGGGTGGTCTTTATCACCTGACCTCATAATCCACCCACATCGGCCTCCCAAAATGCTGGGATTACAGGCATGAGCCACCATGCTGGGCCTCTTTACCTACTTTCTAGGGAGGAGAGGTCCTGGAGAAATCAGTTTCTGGAATTTAACAATCAGGAGTTCAGTCATAAGCTACTAAAGTATTGCTAAATTAGACTTTCTAGTTTAACCAGGCAGCTCCGGGCAGACCCAGAGTCTAGAGGCTTTAAGGAGATGCAGGAACAGAAGGTAGGCAGTGGAGAATAGTGGCTAAGAGTGTGGACCTGGGTTTGAATCCCAACTCTGCCATTTACTGGCCATCTGACCCTTGAAAAAACACTTTGTCTCTCAGAGCCTCATTTTTTCCATCTATAAAATGGAGAGAATAACAGTACCTGCTTCTCCAGTTCTGAAGAGGCCAAGAGACAGTGCCCCTACAGAGTGCACCGAGTGTGCCATGCAGGGGCACTCAGTAATGAGCAGGGCTGAGCTGACAGTAGTAGTAGCTCATTGAAGAGGGAGAGAAAGTGCGAGTTCCTCAATGACAGTGACATGGCCCTGGGCAGCAGCCCTGTTCCTTGTCTCTCCTCCCAGAAGGGATTGCTGATTCCACACAGCCCTCTGCCCTCAGCGCTTTCATCAGATCTGAGGAGCCGTTGAATAACCACAACACTTCCAGCCATTAACAAAGATAAAGAGAGCACTGGAAAATTGACTTTGCCTGAGCACAGTAAGTACGAATCCAAGTAAAAATCATGACACGTACTCCCAAACCGAGTTTGATGACTGTCACGTGCTCCACCCCCATCCCCTGCCGTCTCCCCCACCCACCAGCTGCCACCAGCCCCCTCTGCCATGGCCAGGCTGGTCTCCTTTTCTCTGCCGTTGCTGTGAAGCCTTTTTCACACTAGAGTGCCCCTACCTTGAATGGTCTCCATTCATAGCTCTCCTGCCCTACCCACCCAGTAAAATAAATGCTGCCTCTATTCTAGGAGCTACTGGGGAAGCCCCTGGTTGACATCTAGGGCAGTGTTTTTCCAGTCGTGATCAGTGAACTGCACCTGCCTTGAATTACCCCCCAGGCTTGCTAAAATGCAAATGCCTGGGAACTTTCCATGACCTAGTGAGTCAGAATCTCCATAAAAAGGGCCAGGAATCTGCATTTCTAGCAAGCTTACCAGGTGCATCTGATGCACCCAAAGCATGAGAATCCATGATTTCTCTTGAGTCCCTTGCTGAGTGCCAAAGTCCAGCTAGGACTAGACCTGGAAAATTTACAAGATAATGTAATTGAAGTATCACAAACTCCCCAAGTAGCCCCAGCAAGACTACTTCAGGGGATCTGAATTCTAGTCTTGGCCCTAGAGCAATAAGCTGTGTTGCCTTAAACAAGTCACTTCTCTGGGCCTGTTTTCTCACTTACAAAAGGAAGAGCAGAGACTTGCGGGTCTCTGGGGCCATCCTGCTCTAACATGCTTGGAATTTCACTCAGGATAGGCACTTTTATAGGGCTGTCATGGTGGGAAAAGAGAACAGAGAGTTGACAGGGTTGAGCCCAGAGGCCTAAGAGGGCAGTTCACAGTTGCTCTTGCCAGCTTTGGTGGCTCATACCTGTAATCCCAACATTTTGAGAGGCTGAGGTAGGCGGATTGCTTGAGCCCAGGAATTTGAAAATAGCCTAGGCAACATGGTAAAACCCCATCTCAACAACAACAGCAAAAAATACAAAAAAATTAGCCAGATGTGGTGGCACATGCCTACACTCCCAGCTACTTGGGAGGCTGAGGCAGGAGGATGGCTTGGATCCAGGAGACAGGGGCTATAGTGAGCTGAGATCGTGTGCCACTGCCCTCCAGCCTGGGTGACAGAGTGAGACCCTGTCTCAAACAAACAAAAAAGCAAACAAGGTTAGTACCCTGGCTTAGTAGGGCATTACGAGGAGCGAACCCAGCGTCTAGGCTGTGGCAGAGTCAGGCAGGTGCAGTCTAGAGTTGGTCCCTGGGGACTGGTGTGGTACAGGGTGGAGGTCTGAGCATCAGAGGTCCAGCCCGGTAGGTTGGCTCAGAACCAGGCTCTAGGACCCACAGAGACATCAGAGAGCAAATGGGAACACCCAGGCCTGGGAGAACAACTGCATCTCGAAGGAAGGGGATGTCCTTGGCTGGGTGTCTCCATTGCGCAACTCCACGGGGTGTCATCCCGTAGGATACAATGTGGACGCCCTCTCTAGCGTTGTGCCACATAGAGCAACATGCTAGGACTAGGCACCAGGGGCACCCCCAGGCATCCTGGATCCTGGACTTAGGGCAGCAGAACCAGTCTAGGCCTAATTCACTGCTTTGGCCATCTGGGGCATAGATAGCAGTTGCAGAAAAGGAGGTTTCCCTACCCCTCCTGGTTGGAAACTGGAGGCCTGAGCTTGGTCCGAGGATAGCCGCAGGAGGTGGGGGTGGGGTGCAGACAGCAACAGGCTCAGCAGGAACTTTCCTCAGACCTGCAAACTGCTCCCAGGAGTTGTAGGCGGCCCCTCACTTTGCTCTCTGGGGCCGGGCTGCCCAGCCCCTCCCTGTTGATTCAGGAGCACTGCCAACAAAAGGGAAGGGCCCAGAGAAGGTTCCAGGCCATTCAAAGGACTGGCCAACTGGGCCCAGAAGACTGGCATTGTTTTGCTAAGAGAAATGGTTGAGAAAGCACTTAAGAATCCCTGAAATTTGGAGGGCTGCTGTCCAGAACACAGATTGCAAAAGCAAGATTCGGTGCCTCGCAGCACACCAAGTGCTTTCGCCAGCAATGATCTTAACCCTCAAACAACCCTGGGGGGGCGATTAATATTGTTATCCACTTTTACACCCAAGGGAGGTGGCTAATATTGTTATCCCCTTTACACCCAAGGAAGTGGGCCCTAGGAAGTCACAGGGTAACAGGGGCAGGGCCGGGCCTCCGCCGAGCCTGATGTTTCCACTGCAGCACTGACCACCAGGTCTTCACAGGGGTCGGAACTGCCAGAAACGGCCTAACCCTGGTGCAGGACAACTGGGTTCAGTCACCACAAGACCAGGGAGCACTGGGTAGCAAAGCCATGGGTTTATAAGAGGCCAAAAAGTGTTCATGTCTGAGCCTCCAAAAGGACAGCAGCCCCCACTTAGACTCATCCCCCAAGGATCACCCCTGAGAATCTCTGATTCTCTCTGGCAGCCTAACAGGAGCCATAAGAAAACCTGTTTTGTCCTCTCTGTTCAATCCTTGAAAATATTCGCCATTCAAAGGGACCAAATCTCAACCTTTCTGCTTGGTGAGCCTTCCCCAGCCAAATGTCAGGGGGCCCTGTATGACACGCAGTCACTCACTCACAGCTTTCAAATTCTCTTTATTAAAAATCTTTTTTATCTCTTTTGTAAAAACAAACACTTTGCAGTCAGTTACACAGATCAGGAAAAGTAGTGACAATTAATAGGACACTCAACAAATTTCAATACTTTACAAGTTCAAACTTAAATTAACTTAGTGTTTTTGTTTTTCTCATAAATTCAAAAAACAAACTCTGGTCCAGTTCAAGTATAATCTAATTACCTAACAGGTCACAGCCCTGGACTGTCCAAGAATGGGAAACCCTGATATACCAATGGCTTCTGCTCACACCATTGAATTTTCCAAATCATTTGGGAATACTGTCTAGATAGATGGTATTTTGGGTGTTAGCAATGAAAAGAAAATTATACAGGGGTTATATTTTTGTTATATTAACCCCGGGGTAAATATGAATCTGTTGCTCAAGGTGGCAATTGCTCTTCAGCATTGTTTTCTGGGAGATACTTTGAAATGGTTGACAAAACACTGAAGAAAAGCTTTAAAAAATAAATCAATATTTTCCTGGTTGCCTTTAATAGTGCATTGTGTGTGGCACACATAGGAATAAAAAGTGCAAATCATAGGGTCGGTGAAGGACCATGCCAATGGAATTGTATAAAAATAAATAAAAATAAATACATATGTACACACAAGTATAGACTTTTCGATGATTTTAAACTGAAGGTTCTGATTGAATGCAGATAGTGCCTCGTCTCCCTCCCAAGGGCTTTCCCTAGCTTTCCAGCATGAAGATCAGTCTATCAACAAGGAAGCCATAACATTACATGACCATCTGGATTTCCATGAAAATGCTGCTGGGGATGGGGGGTTGGGAAAGGCAGGGGAGGCGCAGGGAATGAGCTGGTGAAGTATGCTCCCACTTTGCTAGGGGATAAAGCGTCCAGTCTCTCTGATAACGTACAGTTCTAGCCTCTGATGGAAGATGTGGGCTTTTTCTAGCAAAGTTCAGCAAAAAGGACAAAGAACTGCCCCTAGAATTCCCTCCAGTGGGAAGAAAGACACACAGGAGCAAAGGTTTTCTGAGAAATGGAGGAGGCATAGCTGGTGTCCAGAATGCCAGGTTCAAATTTGTGGAGTTGGCCGGGGAACAATCTGGGCTGAGCCATGGTCTTCAGACTTTATTTGAGATACCAGCTTTTCAGCAGCCCCCATATGGTCTTGTCAAAAGATAAAATTACAACAAATTTAAAGATCTTAGTTGGCTTTTATTTTTGATTCTAGAACTGGGCAACACATCACTCTATAAAATAGAAAGTGTTCCCATGAGCTGAGCGGAGGAGGTTGGCTTTATGGACAGAAAAGGGCTGAGGAAAGCAGACACCAGACTGGACGTCTCAAAGTTCCCTTCCTTGTAAAGGTTAAAACCAAGGACACATCTTCATCATGCTGGTTAAAACTGGCCTGTTTGGGGATTTGGCTATTCTGTCTCTCTCTCTCCTGATTTCTTGGAAGGCAGAACTTTAACATGAGTGACTCGCTTTTGTTTTGGTCTGGTGGGCCTAGTGCAGAGGGGCTCAGTCCAAACCAACAGCCTCCTCTGAATTGTATTTAATAGCCTGATGATGATGACGAGTTCAGGTTTCTCGCTTGTTCCGACCTCTCCGCATCACACCTGTTCTTGCTGGTCTGCTTTTCCCCTGGAGCTTGCCTTCACTGTTTGCTCTCACTGGCTCCCAGGAGTCTGTTCCTGGCCAATGACTGCATGCTGTCAGGTTTACTCCGATTGTTTTAGGCTCTGCATTTGTTCCCTTTGTGTGCCTCAGTTGCCTGATATAAAATGTCAGCCTTGAACTAATCTCTCTGCCCTTCTTCCATGAGTACAGAGGACAGAATGTGCAGTACACTCTCACATGCCATAAAAAGGGAAATGAAAAAAAAATAAAACCCAAACCCTACACAATCCCTTCTCAGTCTGCCTGCCCAAGGTCAGGAGCAGAAACAGCAGGAACTGCCTAGGGGAGAGTGACCTGTCTTCCTTGTTTTATTTTTCCTGGGCTAAGCCATGGACGGTGCTTTCAGGAGAGTGTCTCAGCTCATGAAAACAGCTCCGGGCTCCCTTTCTAACTGCCCGAGGGCCTCTCTCTGGCTTTAGCAGAGCCTCATTTGCCCCAGCACCTCTATCCCACACCCTTTCATTAGAATACCAAGCTAGAGACCCCACATCCTACAGGCACCGACCCTCCAGTACCAGAAAGAGCAGTGGGAATCAGGACTCTTCGTAACACTTTGGTATCAAACTCTGAACATTTGGTCCAGCCCAAGGAGCCCTCAAGCATCTGCCCAGCTGGAAAGGGCCCATCTACAGACGCCCAGCAAACCTTAATGCCACTCTTTGGCTCTGCAGCCTTCTCTTTCCTTAGCTTCTCCCCTGACTGAGGGGCTATTTAAAAACCACCCGACTGTGAGGTGGATGTACCCCAGAGTGCAGGCACCAAGGCTGAGTCAAGGACAGATGATATTTCCTTGTAACTGTGTCTCACACCAATGCCATGCATTGCGGAGAGGCCAGCGTTCAACCTAAGCCCACGCCAACTGCTGTTTTAGCTGGAGGAAGAAGACGCTTCCATTTTTATTTTTAATTACAGTGAATCTGTACCAAATCCATTGTCCAGAATAGAACAAACTCTGACATCTCCTGAAATCAAGAGGAGGGAAGTAAGTTTGGAAGAAACTTATCGGAGCTTCCAAAATGAAGGGCTTTTTTCATCTTCTCTAAAATTCATTTAACTTTACTTTAAGGCATAAGTCTGGCAGACTTCTGGAACAACTGAGAGGATGAAAGAATTATTAAAAACAGGGGGCTTTTCAAAAGGGGGGCCCAGCTGGAGGAAGAGGTTAATGAAGCCACTCCCGGCTTCTGCCAACAGATTGTCTGTAATGTCCCCTCACTGGGACTGCAGACCCGACTCGGCTCCCCAGTGCACAGGATACAAGGGACACAAGGCAGAGACACTGCTGCAGACTCACTGCAGGGGTTCGCCTGACCCAGGAGTTTCCATTAAACCTTTTCCTTGCATGACTCAGCCAGGCCTGACCTGTTATATCCCATCAAGAATTTTAACACAGTGAAAATCCCTGAGAAGTTGGATTTTGTGAAAAGAAAATGATCCTTGGCACATAAGGAGAGTGGGGGGAGGGAGCAAGAGGAGAAGAAAGAAAAACAAACTGAATGATTGTTTGAGAGAAACAAGAGTTAACAGGGAGCGAGCTGGTGACCCTCAGCGCGCTGGACACGCCTGGGTGACTTGGCTCCTGGAGACGTTTCAGGGGCATTTCACAGAGTCTCTGGGAACAAACCCAAGCAACATGCCCTGCTTGGTTTTCCTTCCTCTCAGGCTTTAGTCCTGTCACCGGGATCAGGAGGGCCCCACTTGGCAAGCTCTCCTCTCACACCTTCGAGTGGCAGCAGCAGAGGCAGAAGCATCAGAGCTTTTTCCTTTCAAAGCGTGGCACGATTCCACTGTCCTCTGGCCTTGGACTACCTGCCCCCTCCGTCTCCTTGAGGCCCTCCTCAGCCAGCTGGGACAAATATTTCTGTGGAAAGAAGAGGGGAAGCGGAGGAAGGGACACATTAGTAGGGACCAAGAAGAAGAGGAGAGGAGGGGACATGCCTCAAACATCCCTCTCCTGGCATCTGTGCCCAGCTGTGGGGGCTACCCTCTTCCTGGTTCACAGATCCCCCTGGGGCGATGGAACCTATGCTAAGTACCTCATTAGGTTGGTGTACAAGTGATACTCGTCTCCTGTAGGACATGTAGAAAGTACAGATATAATAGCAAACACTTCCAAAGCCCTTATCTGGTGTCAAGTGCTGTTCTAACTGCTTGACTTACATAAGCTCATTTAACCCCAAAACAACTCTGTTTTCCAGAAACAGCCCAAGCTCTAGGCAGCTATCTATGCATAAGAGGCAGAGGGAAGGAAGCAGGAAGGCGGGGTAAATGAGCGCTGGCCTATAGCGATTGTGCAAGACAGAACCAGGGCCTGACATTTAAGACTCTTAACAACCTGTTTCCTGTCAGGGCAGGCTATCGGGTGGGGAGCCGGGGAGGTCTTTTGATGGATTTAAAAATGGGCCTGTCTGTTCTAATCTTGAGGGCTGCCTCTGCAGGACCCCAGAACTCTCACTGCTATGACTGGCCTCAGCCTAACACAATGAACCAGGTCGGGCCGCTCTTGGTCAAAACACTGAGACAGAACAAGGACAGGTTTGAGGCCCCAACTGGGGTCCTCTGACTATTAGGGCAGCAAGGAAAAGGTAAAGAGCACTGCCTTAGGAGTCAGAGGGTGCATTAGGAGTCAGAAGTGTGTGCACTCTGTAGTCAGATGACCTGGGTTCATATCCTAGCCCTCAGCAAGCAAGTTGTCAAGTATCTCTGACATCTGTGAAGGGAGGAGAAAAACAGTAACTACCACATAAGGTTGCTGCAGAGTTGAAGAGAGGCGACACAAGGCACTCAGCACAGCATCTGACACAGAATAAACACGCAGTAATGTTGGCTTTTCTTATTAGCAGCGCCAGCCATATGAGTTGGGGAAAGTCACACCTCTCCTCCCAGCCTCAGACTCCTAATCTGTTAAATGACAGGAACAGTGTCATCCTCATTCTCCCCGCTTCTGGGATGGTTTGGAGAGTCAGATGAGAGCGGCTACGTGAGATGACCAGGTCTGCCTCTCTCTCCATAGAAGAGACTGCAATTGGCTTCCAGAAATGGGCGTGGCCTGACTGGAAGAGGAGCAAACCGTGGACGGCAGCAGGCGAAGCTGCTGATAGAGGTTCTCCCCTGCCTTGGCTCAGGGAGGGTAAACCGTGTGCTGAAGAAGGCAAGTGAATGAGTGTACACATTCCACTCCAGGGCCGGAAGCCAAGCAGGTATCTAGTTTTCCCATTGAGTGCTGATGCCACCTGTTGATCTGAATCACTCTGGATGGGTTCTTGCAGAGCCATGACCGGCAATGGGGCACAGCACAGGTTGCGCAGACTGAATGGAGCCTCCTTCAACCTGCTCCCTGCTTTAGGAGCAATTCCCAGTCCCCAGCTCAAGGCCTCTCAGTGGTGTTAAGTTTCAAAGTTGTCTGATTTAAGTGTCAGCCATCACCTGCTGCTTGGGGTGAGGTGGATGAGGCTGTGTGGGGCAAGACAAGAAAGGCATGACTTGGAGGGTCAGACTGGGTCCCACAGAGCCAGCTGAGGGAAATCATCTAGCTTGATGTGTGACAGAAATCCTATCTGGGAAGCCTGTGGTGGAAACGCCCAGCTCCCCAGCAGGTGCACCAGGTAAAGCTGCACTGCAGTCGGCTGGCACGAGGGGCTTAGCCAATGTCTGCCCCAATGCACCTGAGAACCACAGGAAGGCTCTGGCGAGCTTCGGGGAGGGGAGTCTGCCTGGGCGTGTGGCCCAGAGGCTCAGAACACAGTGCAGTCCACTGCCCTGGAAAACATACATGAATTAGAATTAGAGGCCCTGGCAAGCCTGAACTCTCCCTAACTTCCAAAGTGACCTTGAGCTGTGTGGTCTCCTGAAGGGCTGCACAATCCTACTGCAAATGCTGGAGGAGAGAAAGGGTTCTCACACCGACGGATCAGGGTCTGATATGAAGATGGTTTACAATGCAGACTCTCAGCCCAGCCCTAGGGAAAATGAGTAAACAAGTGTAGGATGAGATCCAGGAAGCTGCATTTCAAAAAGATGCCAGCTGGTCCAAGGACTAAGGTTTGGGAAAATCAGGACCAGATGATTTCCAAGACCCCTTCCAGCCCTGCCATTCTGTAGGTTTCATCTTGTTGGGAAAAGGGATGATTGTATCTTCAAGCTAGATGACTTCCCTCAGCTGGCTCTGTGGGACCCAGTCTGATCGACCCTCCTGCTCTGGCTGAGTCACGCCTTTCTTGCCTTGTCCCAGGAGAGGCCTAGCCTTGGGCCACAGGCCCTGTGGCTGCCTCAATCACAGAGCAGCTGCCCTCTGGAGGGAAATCAAGAGGCTTCAATGACCTGAGTTTGGGCCCAGTCTATGATAGTCCCCTGCAGATGGTGACCCAGGCCTTGACATTATGGGTCTCAGTTTCCAAGACGAGTATAGTAGAGTAGAAAGAGGAAAAGTTATTCCGAATCAGGCGATCTGATCCTAGGCGCAGTAACTCACTATCTGCGTGGCCTTGGATGAATCACATAGCTTCTCTGGGCCTCAGTTTTCTCAGTTATTAAACAAAGTTGGCCCATATCTGAGTTTTTTTTTTTTTTTTAAACTAAGGGTGCACATTTGAATCTTTTGGTGAACGTCCTCAAATTACACATTCTTGCAACCTGCCTTCCACCCCCAAATTCTACTAAATATCCAACTTAGTACCTGTACATTAGAAATACTGTCCAGACGAGTCTGCTCCATGTCCCTGGTTAAGAACGGCTAGATCAGTCACTTTAAAACAATTTAAGGATCATAGTAACGCCTGGCCTGGGACTTGGGCACAGCCACTGTGAGGACTTCTTGATTCAAAGCCTTGGGGTTCAGATAACTAGTCTGATTCCTTGTAGTCAAAACAGGAGGTGTCTTGAGATACTTATCCCTCGCCATCTGATATATCAGGTCTTCTTTTAAGCTACCAAAACCTAACCCGTGCCAGAAGCTAATCATGAAAACCACATTCTAATATATTATATATTACAGAACACATGACGATAGTTCCTTGATCTTAAGGCACATTTTTTTCACACATGAATATCTCTCACATAAAAGTGCATTTCATAGTTGATGAAGTCTCATCCCTTCATTTGCAACATTTTTTTTTTTCTAGTTGGTACCAAAAAACAGTGGTGTCTTACAAATGATGGCACCTTAGACTGGGTGAAATATGGTGCATAGAGTATTTTTTTTTTTTTTTTTTTTGAGGCGGAGTTTCACTCATGTTACCCAGGCTGGAGTGCAATGGCGCGATCTCGGCTCACCGCAGCCTCCGCCTCCTGGGTTCAGGCAATTCTCCTGCCTCAGCCTCCTGAGTAGCTGGGATTACAGGCACGCACCACCATGCCCAGTTAAATTTTTGTATTTTTAGTAGAGACGGGGTTTCACCATGTTGACCAGGATGGTCTCGATCTCTTGACCTCGTGATCCACCCGCCTCAGCCTCCCAAAGTGCTGGGATTACAGGCTTGAGCCACCGCGCCCGGCTGAGTATTTTTTTATATGTTGCTTTTGAACATACTATACCATTTATTTTATTTATTGCTTGTTACCTACATTAGAATGAAAACTCCATGAGAACAGGGATTTTGTCCACTTTACTGTTGTTGATATAGGATTCCTGGTACCTAGAATAGTGTCTGGTACCTAGCGTGCCTGTGATAAGTATTTGCTGTACAGATGAACAGCTAAAAAGAACAAAGCAGTGGTTTTATTCTAGCAAGAAGGGATAGCTGCATAGGGGAACAGAAACAGAGAAATATCTGCAACTGGAACATCTGAGTCTTGTGGGGAGGGGTCAGCCCCAGTCACGGGCCAGGTGAACACTGGCCTAACTTGTTACTCACAGTATAGAGGGAGAGGTGGCTATTGCCAGAGCCAAACCCAAACAGGATGTTTAGACATGCGCTAGGAGCACGGGGGAGGCAGCCACCATGTAGAGGGCAGCTTGATGCAATCAACTCTATGGGAAGATAAGGAGGTCTCCACGTAGTGGAAGGAGCAGAAACTCACAGAAGCAGAAATCAGTTTGGTGTGCTTGGGGAATGGCAAGTAACCTGTGGCCTGGAGTAGGCCTTGCAGGTGGAGCTAGACTCAGAGGCAAGCAAGGCCAAGGACCCCAGACACCTGGCTCAGTTATGGAGACTGGGGAGCCCCTGGCGTGCTGGGCAAGAAGGGTGGACAGTTACCTGTAAGTTCCTATAGTGGACAGCGCTGCGGCAGTGGCTTATCTTCGCTGTCTCCTCACTCGTGTAGAACAGCCCACACAGCTTGCAATAAAACCCAGTCCTGGGAACCACGAACTCCACCCCTGGGGAAGGATGGGGGCGAGACAGGCAGAGTTAAGAAGGCGTGAGAGGCAGGTGCCTGTGTCCTGGCAGCCATCAGGTGGAAACGGGAGCCACGAGCTCCACCCCTCACTTGCTGTTGACCTTGGCTGGTTACCGAGCTTATCCAAGCCTCAGTTTCCTCATCTGCAAAACAGTCACAAAGAAACTCACACCCACGTCACTCGCAGGTGGTCTTGAACGTAAGGGATGGACTCGGCAGTGTGGTAAGCACTCAGCCGCTCCACGGCCTGCAGCTATCCTGGGGGGATCTAGGTCCAGGTTCTCCTACTGACAGCCTCCTTCCAAGAAGAGAACAATGAAGGTGATTTCTGACATTTCTGTTATTTCACTTGTTGGATTTCATTTCTCCACACCCTACCTCTCTTGCAGCTGCTGTGACCAGGACTCTGGAAGAATTCTCTCATTTTTGTTGGTTTATTTTAGAATTATGTTCTTTACAGAAAAAAAAAGTAAATAAAAGGAAGGAAAAAAGTCCCCCAGAGTCACTCCAGTCCACATGTTCTCCTCTACATGATTAACCTGTACGTGGGCCTCTTTGTGGGGGCCGTTTCAGTTATACCCTGATTACAATTCTGTCCTCTTGTCTTCATGTAATTGTCTATCATTGACATTTTCTCACTTCCTCCACTCTTTACATCTGAACCATCAATTAGCATTTCATTTGTCATTTATTGAATGTAAGTCCTAGAATTCTGGGAGGCCTTTTGATTCCAAGCAAAGGAAACAATGGCGTCGCCACCGCAGAGTGGCAATGTCACAGCCAGGGGACTCATCCTTGAAGGGATGGTGGCAGCTCCAGCCTCCACCAAGGTGTTTTGCAGGTCACAGTTCCCCTCTTGAAGACATGGTCAGTCAGCAGAGTGGAAAGAGCCCAGCTCTGAGAGGGTCTGGGCCAGACACTAAGAACCCATGTGACCTGGGGACAGTCAGCCGAACTGTTCCTGGGGCTCAGTTTCCTCACCTGAGAATGGAGGCAGGAATACATGCCGTGTTTACCAGACACCTGACTACAGTTCCAGCCAAAGGGCAGGGGTGTGAGGGCCGTGAGGACCCATCAGGGAACTAAGAAAGAGGGGTGATGCTTGGAACACGCAATCCCACTTGCAGGCTGGGGAAGAACCTTCTCCTCTGCTGGGGCTGGGCGATGGGTTGAGGTCTGGCCACCCTGGGTAGGAGGGAGGAAGGGGCCTGGGAATGGCACAGGCAGGGGAACAGTAACTTCTTGCAGGGATGGGGACAGGGGAGGTCCCTACTTCTGACAGCGCCCACTGCAAGGTACAGCGTGGCCGCCTGCAAGCCCAGCTGCTTGGGTTGCTTCACTTTCCTCCTCCCGCCTCCCAGGACACTGAGCTAAGTGTCTAGGACACCCTGTCACAGGGAAGCAGCCTAGACTTGTCATTAGAACTCTTTTTCCATTTCAAAATAGCCACTTATCAGTGTGAAGGGCAGCTCTGAAGGAGGGAAAGGGAGGGAAGGAGGGAGGCCAGGAGGCCTGCTGGGTCTGACAGTGGCGCTGCAGCCGGGGCCTGGGGCGTCCCCCTCAGCCTGGCTTTCTCTAACCGCCACGTCGCAGGCTGCATGCCATGCCCTCAACAGTGGTCCAAGAAGTGAGGGGGCCTCACTCAGGCCCAGGTGCCCAGTGGGAGGTTGAGTATCCTTCCTTTCCTCTCTGCCAAGGATGGAAAAGTGGCCCCAGCTTGGCGTGTGGGGGGCCGGTTCTCCCCTCCACCACACACACAGGTCCTGACTTCTGGCTGTTGGTGCTGGCAGAGGTGCATTCAGCAAGGCCTGCTCCTTCCTCCGTTGCTACAAAATAGTTTTCCCTTTGCTTCTGCTCTGCAGAGAGCCAAGACCCCCCGCAATCCAGGAGAGGGGCAGCTGGGAAAGAAGGAGGGCTTTGATCAGAGCCACACTCTCAGTCTCATCCCAGCCCTTAAAGGAGGAGCCAGCCGGATGGTACCAGGAAAGAAGCCTTGAGGTTTTCACTAAGCCTCCTATTGAGTCCTCTGAGTCCCTGTGTGGGGACCCCCAGAAGGGGCACAGCTGCCCTAGGAGCTACCACAGAGCCTTAAGCAGGGATTAAGCTGGTAGCCCAAGCTCCCAGCAGGGTAGCTACAGCCATCCTCTGCAGGTTCTGGGAGAGATTTCATTTGGACAAAGACTTCTACCGCCAAAAAAAAAAAAAAAAAAAAAAAAGAAAGAAAAAGAAAAACAACCTTGGAAGCCACAGTGTCATGTAGAGTCAAACCCAGCTCTTTTCCTTCTGCTTTGTGACCTCAGGCACAGTTACCCTCTCCGAGATTAGTGTCCTCAACTGTGAAATAGGGGCAATAATGCCACAGATGAGGCTTAGGAGAAGCACCTGTTACTTTGGCCTGGTGCTTAAAAAATACTGGTTTGGAGACACATGTTAAATATTTCATCACAGAAGCCTGAATAACTGCCTAAGTGTTGGCCTTCTCACCTGAACCCCAACCTCTCCCTGGGGCCACCTGGGGATCCCAGCTCCACTGTTTGGTGGTAGCTTTCTCCCCTGGCCCCTGCCCCACAGGTTTGGGCAGTACCAGGCAGCCTCGAGGCAGCACTGGGGGAAGAGAAACATGGGTGGGGAGAAACCCCAACAGCTGGAAACTTGTTCCAGAATAACTGGGGGTTGCCACAGGCACCACAAATCCCACAGCACAGCTCAGGACACTTCTGGAGTGTGAGGGGAACATGAGGAGGCAGCACACACGGCCCCTGCCCTGATGTGTTCTGGAGCCGCTCAGTCCTCCATTTTCCAGCTGCACTTGGCTTCTAATAATAGCTCATGGCACGGGTAATTATAACTCTGTCATCCTAGTAAAGCTGGGACGGGTAGAGGGGGGAGCTTGTGCTTTGCAGGGAATGCTGTTTGGTTCTAAGAGCAGGCCTTGGCAGGCTGGCACTGGCCAGGGTCAGGCAGAGCTGGCCCAGATCTCGAGAGCAGTGTCCTTCCCAGCCATGCCCACCCCTGGTCCCTGAGCAACCGGACTGGCCTCCTTTCCTCCCAACTGGGAGCCCAGTCCTTGACATTCCTTATTTCAACTCTATGCTTTCCACAGGGACAAAGCCTAAAAATTGTCTCTCACCTCCCTAGAAGTCTCCATGCCAGAAGCGACCAGTCCTGGAGGGTAAAGGGTTATGCAGCCCCAGTGAGAGGAGCCATAATAGGTCTTAATAAATATTTCATGAGTGAATAATAACAATAGATAACCCTTATTAAGTACCTCCTACTGGAAGCCACTAAGACCTTACCAGTATTTGTTCTCTTCATCCTCCAAATAACTCTGCATAGTAGGCTTCTATTACTGTGGCTGATTCACAGATGAAGAAATCCAAGCACAGAGGTTAAATGAGTTGCTCTTTGTCATCCAGCCAGCAAGTAGTAGACAGGGGATTTAAACTCAGAGAATCAGATTCCATAGTCTGTGCTCTTACTTTCTGCACAAAAATTGCCTTTTCTACACTGTGCTGAGGCCTGAACTGGAAGAACCCGGAGAACAGAGGGATTTGAGATCACAACTCCTGAGTTCTTTTTTCTTTTTTACCTTTTCTTTTTCTTTTATACCTGTTTCTTTTTTTACTTTCTTTTTTTCCTTTTTTTGAGACAGGGTCTCTCTCTAGCCCAGGCTGGAGTGCAGTGGCACAATCATGGCCCGCCTGCCTCTCCTCCCAGGCTCAAGATCTGGATCTCCTTCCAGGCTCAAGAAATCCTCCCACCTCAACCTCCTGAGGAGCTGGGACGGCAGCTAGGTACCACCACTCCTGGCTAGTTTTTATTTTATTTTACTTTTTGTAGAGACGAGGGTCTTGCTATGTTGCATTTGGCTTCTTTTTTTTTTTTTTTTTTCGTATCCAACTACGAGCTTTTTTGGCTTCTAATAATAGCTCATGACATGGGTAATGATACTCTGTCATCCTAGTAAAGCTGGGACAGAGTAGCTGGGACTGCAGATGTGTACCAGTGCTCATAGCTAGTTTTTATTTTATTTTATTTTTTGCAGAGACAGGGTCTCCCTATGTTGCCCAGGCTGAGAAATCCTGAGTTCTAACCTGCATTTGCTATGTCATCTTGGGTAAGTCTGTGGACTTTGGTTTCCTCATCTGTCAAATGCAGAACCTCATATGATACTCCTCCCCAAGGGACCAATGAGATAATGAGTCTCAAAGCTAACTGAGACTAAAAACAAGTATGATCTCTAAAAGCCCCGAACTGAAAACAACCCAAATATCTGTCAACAGATGAATGAACAAACAGAATGTGCTATATCCATAGATGCAATGCAATACTCCTCAACAATAAAAAGAAACGGACTACTGATACACCCAGCAGTAGAGATGAATCTCAATGACGTTGAGTGAAAGAAGCCAAGCCAGACCAGCACATACAATATGATACCCTTTATATAAAACTCCGGAAAATGCAAACTAATATTTAGTGACAGAAAGGAGATCCTTTACCTGGGGATTGCAGTGTGGGGAGGGAGAGGCTACATAGGAGACAGGAAATTTGGGATGATGAACATTGTTGCCAATCTTGATAGTGGTGATGCCCTCACAGGTATATTTATGTGTCAAAACTGATCAAACTGTGTACTTTAAATATATACCCTTACTATATATCAATTATACCTCAATGGTGCCAATTTTAAAAAGGCAAGATACTATTTTCCTCCTAACTGGTTGGGAAAGACTAAAAACTGATAAAATCCAACAGGAGGTGGATATTAGGAACTCTCACTCAAGGTTGCGAAAACTGTCGTGAAAACGAATATCTTTTTGGAGTGCAATTTCCAAGTTGTGAAAACTGAGATCATCTTTCTGGAATGCAATTTAGTAGCAATTATGAACACTTAAAATGCAAATACATATGACCCTACAACCTCCTGGCTAGGACGCGATCCTACAGAAACACTGGCACACACATGCCACTGAACAAGCACATCTGAAAGGCAGCAGAGAACAGAAGCTAAGAACATGGCTCCAGAGTCAGGTGACTGGGGTTTGAACCTCACTCTGGTCTTTGCCAGTCATTAGCTGTGTGACGGCATCTCAGGTTTTTTATCTGTAAAATAAGGATAAAAACAGCACCTACCTACCTCATAGGTGTTTTGAGAGGGTTAAATGTGATAATACATGCAGATCACTAAAAATGGTACCTGCACAGATAATGTTAATAAAAGCTTAGCTATTATCATGGAAAAAAGAGCAGACAGCCAAAGTGTTCACCAGCAGAGGAAAGGATCAGTCATTTATAGCATAGCTTTTACTATGCAATATTTGCAGATGTTAAAAAGAATGTGTTCTCCATGTACTGACATGAAGAGATCTCTAGGACCTGCTACTAAGTGAAAAACGCCACTTGCAGAACATTATGTGTGTAGTGTGATCCTATTTTTGTGAGAGAAAAACTTTGGGCATGACAGTGTAGGTTACCTTTGGAGGGTGGAGAGAGACTGGAGGGAAGAGATCAAACCTTTAATATTGACTTGATATGGTTCTTATTTTTTGAATTTGTTATAATAATCTTTCACACTTTCTATAATGAAAAACAGTAATAAAAAGACACAAATCACAAGGTAGTGGAATTTAGTCTTAATTTTTGCTAGTGTCAGTTAGGTTCCAAGTTCTTGGATGACAAGAGACTTGTGTTATATTTCTTGGTTACCCCAGAGTGTCTAGCACAGTACCACGTTATCCAGTAAGTATTTGCTGGCTGACTGAGTACATGAAGGAGCCCTCTCTTCTCTTGCAGGGTGGCCTTTGCAACTCCTTTATAGAGCTAAAATACTCAGGGTCGTCTCAGTGTATTCTAAGGTTGGTATTTCTTTTTCCTTCTTTCTTACATTTTTGTCTTAGGGGATGCTGTGCAGCAAATTTATCCCTTTAAAAAAAAAAAAAAAGAAAGCAAGAAAGTTTGTTCTCCAGATCTGACTCTATGAAAATGGTACACCTGGAGGAAAGCAATAGTAAGACTTTTTTTTTTTAAAGGAGAAGGGAGAAAAAGAGCAACTCGGATGGAAAGGATGAACCTCCACACCAACCAGCCCTCCCTGAATGACCAGACACGTGGTCATCTGTCATCAGATGACCCCTGCTTCTCATGCTTCTGTGTGACACTCTCCCAGGTGACACTTTCTCCAGCTGTCTTTCTGAGCAGCTGCTACTACTACTTTATCTAATTACTTTCTGACCTTTCAGAGCTAATGCAAAGACTCGAAGGTGATGTAGGCTGGAGTTGCTGGGTTAATGGTTGTGTCAGAATCTCCCAGGGAATTTTCTTAAATTACCTTCATTCCCTACCCTGAAACTCTGCTTAACTCTCCTCTTTGAAAAGAGATTCATTCCTAGGTGATTCCGTTAGTAAACTCCCTCCCCTCTTCATTCCCAATACTTCCACCATTGAAGAAATCACTGTCCAAATTACAGGTAAGGAAACTAAGGCTCAAGAAGGGGTATGACTTATCTGAGGGCACACAGTCATCCACAAGTAGAAAGGACAGAAACCCAGGTGTCTGTTCAATACTCCTTCTACAAACTAGGGGAGTCTGCCCCAAACACAGTGTATTCAGCATCATTGCCTCAGAAAAGTTGGCCCTTTAAAGAGGAAAAAAAATGTAGCATTGTTCTGGGAAGGGCTGGAGCAATGAACAGTAGCAGAAAAGGCGTGTTTCTGTTGATTTTATGGAGGCTGCTGGGCATCTGCTTTTCTGCCTGAGTAAGGGCTAGGCTTAAAGCTTGGTGTCATCAAAAATAAAGCATTCCCCAACAGGAAAAACAGGCCCTCTCAGCTCTGGGTCCCCAGGCAGTGCTACTCAAGGCCTATTTTCATGGAGAATTTGGTCTACTATGGAAGACTGAAATTGCAAGAATCTTTACAGCCACCCCTTGCAAATCTAGGTTATTGCATCATACATTTGAAATAACAATAGGCCAGGTGCACTGGCTCATGCCTGTAATCCCAGCACTTTGGGAAGCTGAGGCAAGAGGATCGCTTAAGCCCAGGAGTTGAAGACCAGCCTGGGCCGCATATGGAAACCCCATCTCTACAAAAAAAAAATTTTTTTTAATCAGCCTGGCCATGGTTGTGTGCACCTGTGGTCTCAGCTACTCAGGAGGCTGAGATGGGAGGATCATTTGAGCATAGGAATTTGAGGCTACAGTGAGCTGAGATCATGCCACTGCACTACAGCCTGGGTGACAGAGTGAGACCTTGTCTCAAAAGAACAAAAAACAATGACAACAAAATGACAAAAAACCATCTCAAGCTCTTAAAGGTTGCTATGGAACTGTTATTTCCTAGATCCGAATTTCAGGAAGGGCTGTGTGTTTTGCTTACCTAGAGGAATGCTAAGTTCACTGAACACATCCTCTGGTTCCCAGGAGGGTAAAGAAAGGGGCTGTTTCAGTTCCACTTCACTGTACTCTGGTGACCTCACCTCCAGAGATTTCACTTCCATGTACCTGGAATTTTCTGCAAAACATGAGCCAAGACAAAAAATAAAATAAAATGAAATACAACATGTCTCAAAGAATCCCTGAAATTCTATCCTGCAAAGTATGATTGGGGATTGTCCCTTGGACTGCTAAATCACATAAGGCTGGGACAGTAGCTGCTAATTAGAACCAAAGCACTGTCATTAAGAGCTTTTTCCACTGCCAAAAGAATGCCACACACAATAAAGCTTGGCAAATCTTTGCATTTGGCCCGGGGGCATGGGCTACTGCTGCCTTCAGTTGGGAAGATCCACCCCCCCATGCCTCCCAGCTCAGTATCATTCCATCTCTGCAGGCAGAGGAATTACTGACGGGCAAAAATTGTGCTGACATCCACCGAGGCGAGAAAAACGGGCAATGCCATTGTCCCCCCAAGTTTGTCAAGCTGTTATTAAATATGAACCCCAAACCCTGGCTCAGCTGATGAGCCTCTAACACTGCCACATGTTAAGTCTATACTGCAAAATAAAAGAGGTTCAGTCAGAGTGAGGTGAAGATTTCACTGCTCCTTTTTTCTTGCCTTCTTTAGACAGAGCCTGGGCCTCAGGTTTCTCTGGCAACCAGAAGGCATTTCATGGCAGGGTTTCCATGGAGACTCAGATCCATGCAGGTAAAAAAACAGCTCAGGTCAGCTTGACACGGAAAAAACCCCAAGCCTCCCAGTTACCTAACAGCTCATGCCACCCACAGGGCTCTGGGTTGAAGTGTTCATTTTTAAGACTTTCCTCTGTATTTTCTGCCCCCGACCCTCACTTCAACCTCTGGTGTGCTGCAGGCTTTCTGTAAAGCGAATCTGTAATTATTTTCACAGAGAGAATCTTAAAGGCTACTATCCCTCCCTCCCCCGCTGCCCCTTGATGGATCTTAGGTTCGACTTGGCAGAGAAGACAGGGCTTAGCCTATTTTAAACTCTCTCTTTCATGATGTCACAGTGCCGGGCATAGGCACAAAACATCACCTTCAATGGAGTCAGAGAAGATTCTGAAACAAGTCCTGTATCACCACCAGATCCTAGCAAAAAATGGGTGTGAGGTAGTAAGAAGGGGAACCGCTGTGCCCTTTAGGGATCCCTGTTCCTTCTCCTTCCACTCCTTTCTTGACTCCACACTCCTGCCCCCATCACAGAAATAACAGCCTGGGTGGTCCTCTGCTGTGCAGGCACGAGAGGCTCCTCCTGATCTCCTTTTGCTGATAACTCAAGCTAATTTTAGCTGTCCCAGTCCATCTGGGCTCCTGTAAATGCAGAGCAGTCTGCCCTGAGTTTGCTTCTCAGAAAACATGCAGCCTCCTATCTGACTTCCTTTACACCACTTGCCTAAAATCTCTCACAGTTTAGCCAGGCTTTTAGAGGCTCGCCTCTGTTGCTCAATCACTTTCTGCACCCGCTTGAATGCTAGTTGAAACCTTACTTATGTTCATTCCAGCCTGCACATGCCCCCGACTTCATCAGGTGAGCAGGGGTCCAATCAACCCGACCACCCGTGAGGAAAGGGGAGGTAGTTACCCGGGGTCAACACTCCTTGGCAAGCTTGGCTTTGGAGGTCCGTTTCAGTGGGGGGGCTGGCTTTCTCCTCCAGGGGACTGTCTTCACAAGCCTCATCTTCAGGGGTCCCCCTGGTCTTGCAATCATCGACAAATGGGCTTGACTGCCGGGCCCTCTCGTCTGCTGGCTTAGGGGAAGACATTTGCTGGACCGTAGGAGCTGGATGAACATCTGAGCTCTCCACTCCCTTTGCCTCCTTCTCGTAGCAATCTGAATCCTCCAGGGAGAGGCCTGTCTCACTCTCAGCTGGCTTCCGCTCAGCATCCAGATTTAGGCCAGGCATTTCCACGTCCATGGCACTGGGACAGCTTGTGGAAGCAGAGGGCAGTTCTCCGGGTGACTTGAGGCTGATTTCTGCAGCCCCACTCCCTACAGCCTTGACTCCCTCCTTGGGGAAATCTTTGGCCAGCTCTAGGTCTAAGGTGGTTGTCACACACGGACATGTTTCTGGGCTGATTTTGTCTTTCTGCCCAATGGGCATGATTTCTTCCAGCTCTGGGATGTCTGGTTCCATGATAAAATCTTCTTCTTCCCCCACCTCGTCCACCGTCACCAGCTCCTCCATGTTAGTGGGGTACCAGCTCTCCCCCTCTGCCTCACTTTCACTCTCCCAATCATGTTCCTGTACAAAAATACAGAATGGAGGTCAGAGGGTGGGTAAGAACATTCAACCGGAAGGCACAAGCCTTGATCAAAGGACCCCTCAAATCAGGAAGAACCAGAGCATTCTTACCTCTACCTGGGACAATTACTGGCTGACTGTGAACCACTCAAGTCCCACAGCACCAACTCATCCTTAGGGTGATGCTCAAAATTTGGGATAGACCCTTAGTGCTTAATCCACCATATTTAAAGTGACAATAGGTACTCAATATACAGTTTTTGAATGCATGAATAATTAAGTTATAAACTCTAAATACTTACTGGGAGCATCTTTCTTTTCTTTCTTTCTTTTTTTTTTTTTTTTGAGACAGAGTCTCGCTCCATCACCAGGCGCCAGGCTGGAGTGCAGTGGCACAACCTCGGCTCACTGCAACCTCCGCCTCCCTGCAACCTCTGCCACCCGGGTTCAAGCAATTCTCCTGTCTCAGCCTCCTAAGTAGCTGGGACTACAGGCACGCGCCACCATGCCCTGCGAATTTTTGTATTTTTAGTAGAGATGGGGGTTCACCATGTTGGCCAGGATGGTTTCGATCTCTTGACCTTGTGATGCGCCCACCTCGGCCTCTCAAAGTGCTGGGATTACAGGCGTGAGCCACCGCGCCCAGCCGGGAGCATCTTTCTTACATGTGGGGCATCACTAAATGTAACTGCAGCAAAGCCCCTCACAAAATTCCCCTTAGCACCCTCTCCCAGCAGGGTTACATACACTTCCACAGCCAGGGCTCCTACTTGGCCCCTCCTAAACCTTTCCCCTTGGCATCTGCAGCAGCTCGTGGACTCAGGACTCCACAGACAGGTTTAGGAAATCAGCTTCCCTGCCAGTGATACGCATCTGTCCTGCCTCTCCTGACCAGAAAGGCATGAAGCTGGCCCATTCCAAGGACATTTCTTTTTGTTGGGACAGCCCCAGCCCAGAAGAACTGTAACTGGATTTTAAAATTTTAATTAAGTAAAACAATCTGTATAGGCACACTGGATGTGTTGCTAATCCTAGGGTCTGGGCCTGCTGAAGTCAGGGCCCCAGCCTGAGTGCCCAAAGCAGCATCGTGCCCCGTCCCCGCCAAGGGACTCGTCTATTTTGGGAGCCTGGCTCTGAAGCCTGAGTCTTTTTTTGGGCACATGTTTTCTCGTAGGAACACAGCCAAGTTGCTGGAGAGTGAGCAGAGCCCAGACATGTGGGTACAGATTGCTTCAATAAAAACTGTCCGAAGATTCCAGACACAGCCACTCCTCCGAAGTAGTGCTAGGAGGACTGGTTCATTCATGGAACCAACGGTGGGGTCTCAGCCATATTCTATCCAGCAGGACATCATCGGGCAAAAGGGAGACTCCTGTGACTCAGTCCCTCACGGCAGAAGTGCAGAACCTGAAACAAACTTTACCTTCTTTGTCCTTGTGTTTTCTGGATCAGAGAACTCTGTTTCTTTCTCCTGCCTGCCCATTGATTGAGGGCTTTCTTCCATGCCCTCCTGTTCCTCTTTTTCAGCCTTATCAAAGGAATAACAGAGCAAACCAAATCAACAGTGAACAGTAACAGGGAGAAGAAAAAAAGAATGATACTGAATGCAGGTTCCAGCTGTTCAGATGGGTTTCACATACAGCATTTGTTTCCTTTATCCTCCCAGAACCCCTCAGACGCAGCTGCTGTTATCATCTTTATTTTATAGATTAGAAAACTGAGGTTCAGAGAGGTAAAGTAATTTGCTTAATCACAGTCACACAGACAAATAAAGGCAGAGAAATATCTTGAAACCTGGCCTGATGTCTTTAAGGGGCTGAAATCCCTGGCAAATTGTGTATTTTCTTTTTTTGCGGAGTAGAAGTAGCCAAACTTGAACTGACTTGGACCGGACAAGACCTTGGTGTTAACCATCATGGTGACATTTCCCCAACAGAGTCATCTTGGCTGTGAAAAAGTCATTCAGGACACTTATAGGCAGAAAGTGCGTTATCACCCAATCAGAGTGCCCTCACACCTTTCTTTTGCCCTCTGTCCTGGAATCATAGCCCAGACTAGCACCCCCTTTCCTCCTTCCTTCTATTCTCTTCCCCCAAATAAGGACCCTCACAGTAGTGCCCATGTCTGTGAAACTGAACAATTGAAAGCAGGTGTTTTGTTTGAGAATTAGGGCCTCTAACCAGCCTTGAAGACAGGGGTCAGAAAATTACAGTCTGCAGATCAAGTCTGACCTGCTGTCTGTTTTCGTATAGCCTGTGAGCTAAGAATGAATTTTGCATGTTTAAATAACTACATTTTAAGTGATTATAGAAGTGCCCACATAAAATCCTCAATTTCACCTCTTGGCCCACACAGGCTAAAATATTTACTATCTGGTCCTTTGTAGAAAACTTTGCCAACTCCCATGTTAGAATTTTCTGAGGGATATTCTCCCATGACTTAAACTTTGACCACCAAATCAATAACTACTCCGGGGCTTTCTGGGGGGCAAGCTGCAGTTCTAGGACATTCTTGGCTGAGGTTGGTTGAAATAAACCACTCTAGTTCTGATTTCTTACAGACACACCCCCTTGAGCTTACTAGGAGCCAGCTGGAGCAGAAGCTCAGGGCTGACTGGTTTCACCAGTTATTACCGGACAGGGACAGGTGGTTCAGATCCTCAAGTCCTTTCTCTTTCCAGTGTTTGGTGTGGGAGATTCCACGGATGGCTTTGCTGAAGTCTACTGTGCGAGCCTGAGTGTAAAGCAGCTACAAACACATTTTTGGCTATTATAGCTTCCACCAACAGGTGACTTTATTTTTAATCTCCCTGTGTCAACTATCCATGGCCTTCTCTTGTCAAAATAAACAATCCTTACCCTTCCCAAGCAGTTCCTGCAGCCACACTCCCAGATCAACACAGTAAAGGGACCCCTTCCAGTTCAAGTTGGGAGAGGCAGGGACGGTCTTGCCAGCCGGGCTGAAAGCCCTCCACCAAGCAGACCCCTGCTCTTCCTCCCTGCAGGCAAAGGAAACAACCTTTCAGGGCTTCCATTGCTTGCTCTGGGATCACTTCCAGGAGACAGCAGCAGCTTAAGGGGAATAGACCCTTGCAACAGGTGCCCCCAGCTGCCCATACCAGCTCACAGACCGAGACGTTAGGTGCCAACTGTTGTAAGCCGGGCTCTGCCGCCCCAGGGCCCGGGCTACCGAACCACGTCCAAACTGGTCTCCCACTTCTGCTCTGTACCCTCTCCCATATTCTTCCCAAGGCAATTAAGAATGATCATTCCAAAGCGCAAAAATGATCACATTCTCACCGTATTTTTTCTTTTCTTTTTCTCCGAGATGGAGTTTTACTCTTGTTGTCCAGGCTGGAGTACAATGGCGTGATCTTGGCTCACTGCAACCTCTGCCTCCTGGGTTCCAGTGATTCTGCTGCCTCAGCCTCCCGAGTAGCTGGGATTACAAGCATTTGCCACCATGCCCGGCTAATTTTTTTTTTTTTTTTTTTTTTAATTTTTAGTAGAGACGGGGTTTTACCATGTTGGCCAGGCTGGTCTCGAACTCCTGACCTCAAGTGATCCTCCCACCTCGGCCTCCCAAAGTGCTGGGATTACAGGCGTGAGCCACCGTGCCCAGCCTCCTCACAGCATTTTCTTGCTTAAATACTTCATTTGCTTCCCCTGGTACTTAGGATAAAGACAAAAATCTTCAGTCTCCCTATAAGACCCTGCATAGCACAGTCCCTGTTGGTAAGTCGGCCTCGCCTCCTGCTACTCTAACTCCAGCTCTCTGCTATGGCAACGCTGGAGCCCTGGAACTGCAAACAGGTCCTTGTGCATGCTGCTCCCTCTGCCTGCTGGCTTCCTTTTCACCCAGTCAGTACTCACCATTCCCCCAAATCTCAACAGTCACAGGCCCACCCGGGAAGCCTCAGATTGACAACAGGCACTCACAGCATTGTGTGCCTTCATCTCCTTCTTAGCGCTTCATACTCAGGCTCGTCTGTTCATTTGAGAAATCACTGGATTAGCATTTTTCTCACTAGCCTGTGAGCTCCGTGAGCCCAAGGGACATTTCAGCGTCACTAACTGTGACCCCAGCACAGGTGCTCAACAAATATTGGTCAATAGAAGAATGAAATTGGTAGAAGGGGGTGGGGTGAATGACAAGTTTGCACCTGTCTTCCCGCAAGGCTGGATCTTGTCTAGGCTCTGAAGCGAGTGTAAGGGTTTTAAAAATCTTCTCCTCAGCCAGGCGTTATGGCTCACACCTGTAATCCCAGAACTTTGGGAGGCCAAGGCGGGTGGATCACGAGGTCAGGGGATCAAGACCATCCTGGCTAACATGGTGAAACCCCATCTCTACTAAAAATACAAAAAATTAGCAGGGCGTGGTGTCACATGCCTGTAGTCCCAGCTACCCAGGAGGCTGAGGCAGGAGAATCGCTTGAACCCTGGAAGCAGAGGTTGCAATGAGCTGAGATTGTGCCACTGGCACAATTTTTGAGACTCCATCTCAAAAAAAAAAAGAAAAAAACCCTCTTAGGGATTGGTTATACCAGGGGTAACATTCTGGGGCTCTTGGATGGCATCTGGTCAACAGGTATGTTTTGGTCTGTACTAGACGTTTGTCTTGCTCTAAAAAAAGGGAGACATTTGACAGCGTGGCATGCATTCCTGTATGGTGGCCGTAGAACGGAGCTGAGCGGTGGCTCCGGCCCCACAGATGGCACAGCTTCCTCAGTCAGCCATGGTCCCATCACGCTGCCCTGGCTTCCCTTCCCTAGGGACCTGGGCCTGCCGCCCTCAGACCCCCATCCCAGCAGGATGTAGCGGTGTTTCTTCCCCAGGTTTTCCTTATCTGTGACTTGATTTCTTTCCTCCTTCTGTGGCCAGGACTGGGTCTCAGGTATGGATGCGGCCATCCACGACCACAGCACGCACACTGGCTTCTCCACCAGGGGCACTTTCTCCAGACAGCTCAGGATTTTTCATGAACATGAGCTCTTTAAAGTACTACAATAGTCTTGTGATCACACCCATTTTACAAACAAGAAAACAGGCAGAAGAAAACAGGGTGTGACCTGGTTCTCAGGAACCAGGCCTTTGCCACCTGTTGTCTGACTCCTGGGGAAGTCCTCTGGGGTCTGGGCTTTTCTCAAGTTCATCATACAGAGTTTGAGGACAGTGCAAAATATTCTCTGTTCTGCTGTCATTCCAACACACAGTGTTGGACCCCTGGCTCCAAACCTACAGAAACATTCTGTGAGAGGCCCCAGTAAGTCCTTACTGACCCCACTCCAGGGCTGTAAGAGGCAGAACCAACTTGACCAACAGAAGTGTGAGGAAACCCTTGGGGCTTTCTGAGACTCTTTTTCCAACAGGGCCTCTGTGGATGACACATAGTGTCACCTTACATGAGCAGTGTTATAGAAGCCAATGAGAGCAGGATGGTGAATCCCTAGGAGGAATCGGGTGGCCGGAGCAGAGTCTCAGGAGTATGAGTAGAAGCGCGGGGAGCAGCTCCACCCCCAGCCTTGAGGGACAGAGGGTTGGCAGGCTGGCAGTAGCCACATGAAGCCCAGGCTTTCCTTGAGCCCCTGCCAACTCTTGCTCTCTGCCCATCACCCATCATCAGCAACTTGGTCACCTCCAAGCAGATACACTTTTAAAAATGTCCACTGGTTCACCAGGTCCTTTGAACTGAGTTTAAGTCCTTGGTGAAGCACACTGTGTCTTCCATGAGCCCACCTCACCCTCTTCCCTAATCTCATCTCCTGTGCTTCCCCCCGCTGTGCCAGTTGGGACAAATTGTGGCCAACTCTGTAATGGGCGAAAAAAGATTACCGGTGTGCTTCCACTGGAATGCTGGGCATTTGTCTAGCACATCCTTTCAGGGTATCTGATTCTATACGAGTCTGTACCTTTCATTATGTTGAACTGAGCTATTTTACAACTGTGTAAGTTGCATACAAATGATTCTTGTTCCTAGAAATGCAAATGAATTGTCTCTGCTGGAGATGCAACTGATTCCCTGCCCCTGTGGAAGGGGCCACTTTTACACCTATTAGCAAATTCATTTCCGCATTCCTGATTGCCTGTATATGTTGCCTGCTCTTTGGATTCTCTTTTGAGTTGGTTTTTGGATCGTATGATGCCCTCATTAATTAATGAGTTGAATAAAACCTTTGACATGTATTCATTATATATTTGCACCAGAGTCATGATTTTATTCTTTAAAAATTTTATCCCTAATATGCCCTAAAGATGCAGCCATGCCAAATATCTCTAGATTCTTCAAAAATAGTCTTTCTTTTTCACTTTTGCCCTTGCTGCTGCTTCTAACAAGAACCCCGGCTGGGCACAGTGGATCATGCCTGTAATCCCAACACTTTGGGAGGCCGAGGTGGGTGGATCATGAGGTCAGAAGTTCGAGACCAACCTGAGTAACTTGGTGAAACCCCATCTCTACTAAAAATACAAAAATTAGCCGGGCATGGTGGTGTGTGCCTGTAATTCCAGCTACTACTCAGGAGGCTGAGGCAGGAGAATCACTTGAACCCGGGAGGTGGAGGTTTCAGTGAGCCAAGACCACACCACTATACTCCAGCCTGAGCAACAGAGTGAGACTCCATCTCAAAAAAAAAAAAGAGCCCAAACTGCTTTTTCTGCTTTTGATACTCAGGTCAAATGTCACCTTCTCTGAGCAGCTCTTCTCCTATCCCTGTGCACAGTTAATAATTGCCCACAAAGCAGCTCAGCCGCGGTAAATGCCAATGTGAGTCCCACTGTATGCAAATTATTTTTATATTAATAGGTCTGTTTCCACCACTGGTCTTCCTTCTGTGCTGTAACATGGACTGTGTCCTATTCACTTGTGGCTCGCCTACACCTAGCACACCACCTGGCAAAGTGGCACTCCATCTATTCATGTGGGAATGAATGCTGAAGTAGCATCCAAAAGGTTGACTCTTTAGTGTTCATGCAGTTGAGATTTGGGCTCCTTATTTGGGCTCAGTATTCTCACCAAATCTAGGTCAGAATGACTAGAAGATATGTGTGGAGGCTTTTAAAAATCAGGCTCCTTATGCAGATTGCCAAACCTCACTTATCCCACCCCTACTTAAATACAGAAGGCTCTGGCAAGAAGGAAGTATAAGCCAAGTTAGAATCTAAACCTGGTACCCAGGATCCTCTTTGTGACACCCCTGTGTGAACTGAAGTACTGATACAAGTCCTCAGACTTTTCAGATGCTGGAGTGAAGGTGCCAGCCAATTGCCATCCTTTTTCTTTTTCTTTTTTTTTTTTTTTTGGAGATGGAGTTTCGCTCTTGTCACCCAGGCTGGAGTGCAATGGCATGATCTCAGCTCATCGCAACCTCCACCTCCCGGGTTAAAGTGATTCTCCTGCCTCAGCCTCCTGAGTAACGGGGAAGCATGTGCCACCACACCTGGCTAATTTTTGTATTTTTAGTAGAGACAGGGTTTTACCATGTTGGCCAGGCTGGTCTCGAACTCCTAACCTCAGGTGATTCGCTTGCCTTGGCCTCCCAAAGTGCTGGGAATACAGGTGTGAGCTGCTGTGCACACCCAGTTTAACTTAGTGGGTGGTGGCGGCTTCTCCTTTACCGCCTCTCATCAGAGCTCCAGGATTGGTAAATGATTTTGGCAGGACGGAGACAGAATGGACCAAATATTTAATCTCCCTTGGCAGACTCTTCGGGTACAAACACCTCAGGGCCGCTCCTTACTGGACAAACAGGACTACAGGCCTTTCCATCATGTCCCGCCCTAACTTCTAGTAAAGGCAACAGGTGCTGTGGGATTTGGGGCCAGATCTCCTGGGTATAATTCTGTGTCTGCCATTTCCTGACTGTGTGTTCTTGGACAAATAAGGTAAGTTCTCTGTGCCTCAGTTTCCTCATCTGCAGTAACAACAGTACCAAGCTCAAACGTTGGTACTCCAAACCTGGGAGAATTAAATGAGTTCATTAAGTGTCTCGCAGAGTGCCTAGCACATAGTAAATAGCCAGTAAATGTTCATTCATTCAATAAATGTTCATCATCATCATATTATTACGGTTATTCTCCTTCAGGGCCTGCCTTGCCTTACCTGGGGAAGAGATTGATCATTACCTCATTCTCTGCCATTGTGTTTTCTTTTCTATCGTCAGCTCCTTCTTGGTCTCTATCAGGTCTCTTGGTTTTATTTTTCTCATTCTGCTTGGACTTGATGCCCTCAGGGGCCCTAGTGACCTTTGGCCCCAGCCCATCTTCCTTGCCTGAGTCATCGGGATGGGGGTGTCTGCTTTCCCGCAGCCTGGCCTCTTCTTTCCTCCTGGACCTCCCGAGGGCATCCTGCTGCTGCTTCAGATACTTGTCCGACTTGGCTTTGGGCTCTTTTCGGTAGTAGCCGTCTTCGCGGCTTTTGTAGCTGGACCCAGCGTGGGGCGGGTTGGGAGACCCAGACCTCAGGTACTTTTCCCGGTGGGGCCTCCCTCCTTCCGGTCGCTCGTCCAACTCCGCCTTGTCCAGTTGCCGGGGGTGGTGTTTACGATCATGTGTCCAGGGCTCCGTCCTGTCCCTCTTGTCATCACCGTTCTCCCTCCAGGGAGCCGGGTCTCGTTCTTCCTCCCTCCTGGCATAGGGAGAGTGCTCCCAGGAGTCACGGCCATTGCCCCAGTCAGCCCGGGAGGGGCCTGGAGGGCTGTGGGAAGAGCTGCAGGAGGTGAAGCTCGGAGTGTGGGACCGCGGGGAGAGTGACCGGCTCACTGGACTACGAGACCGTGGCCTTTCTGGGCCATATCTGCGACGGAGACAAGGGGCAGGATTTAGAATCCTCACACCCATCCCACCCCACCCACACACAGATACACAGTCTCTCTCTGAGATATACTGTGCATGTGGCTATGCACCCTCTTAACGCCCAACTGTACAGAACCACAGACGGTGCTTGGGAAGAAAGCCTTTTCCTCCCTCCCGGCCTCTGCGAGGAGGACTTTTCCTAAGCACAGCACTGGCCGAGGCTCTGCCCCTTTACACTTTCTGCTTCTGGGAACTAGGAAGAAGAACTGGGTTGCTTTGGCTCGGCTCCAGCTTGCCTTCTCTTAGAAGTGAGCTATGCTCAGGGAGTGGACCTCTGACTCTCCTCCTGGGGTTGTGCAGGGTGGGTACGGGGGGGCAAGACTGCCCTAGTCCAGCCTAGTGGGTAAGGCTGCTTAACCCTCGGTGCCATTAGCCAGCCTCTTAGCTACAAGACTTGAAGCCACACCTACATTTGGGCTCTATCAGAATAAAGCCAACCTCTTAGCCTCCACTTTTCTCATGAATTTCTCAGGTCAGTTTATGCATGGAAAAGCGATGCTAACTATTGGGGAAGGCAGGCTCAGAGGTTAGAAAAAGAATTAGGAAGGCATTTTAGGGTTGGAAGAGACTCTAGAACTCCAACCTACACATGTTTAAGATGAAAAAACTGAAACCCAGACCAGGACCCCAAACTGTGTAAGGTTCAGAGCAAGACTTTCTAAACGCCCTCCACTCTGCTGCAGAATTGCAGGTGGCAAGATGTGGTTTCACATGTCTTTAAAACACCCAAATAACCACAATTTTAACAAAACAGACAAACGAATAAACAAATACAGATTCTAAGCCTGAACAGTTACATATAATGATACAGTAAACAATACAGATTCCAAGCCTGAACAGTTGCATACAATGATATACACATACACAGATACACATGCACTCTGAATGCTGTTTGGTTATTAAGCAGGTCAACTGAGTCATATATCTGATATTCTAAAAGGATGGGCATTTTTTCATTTAGTTCCCAAATACAGGAAAACCACGCAGCCCTCACTGACCAGGGGACACCGAGGAGCATCTTGCTAGGACCAGGCTGCCTTGACCATCATGGGGGAAACAGCCTGGGCTTGTGCCCTCTACAGGAAGTGAGAGCACCGCCTGCGGCCACCCCAGCAGGAATCCCAGGATGTGCCAGGAGGTGCCTGCTTCTGCAGTTTTCTACCTTGGCTCTCCGCAGGAACTATCTTTGTAGGGGAGTGACAGTGGTCAACCTGTAGCCCCAGCTTGGCCTGATCACAAACTTCAGTTGTAAGAAATAGGTTGGAAAACGGAATATATTCAATGTTCAGAGAAAGTGACTGTTGAAGTAACTGATTATTTTTTTTGAACCATCTACATTCTACTTTTTACATCTACATTCAGCTCATGAAAAACCAAGAGCTGGCTCTAAACAGAAGCCACATGTACACACACACACACACACACACACACACACACACACACACTACTTTTAGGCTGTTTTAGTAGGGTGTAGACTTGCCCCAAAGGGCCAAATATTAACAGACCTTTTCCTATATTATTTTTCAGCAAAGGTGGAACAGATGAAGGGAAGCCCAGCATTCTCCCGAGGTTAACCTGAGCAGTATGTCTGAACTGGACTGCTGTTTCTCATGGGGACCATGGAAAGGTGGGACCCAGGAAAGCAGATAGATGGGTTAGGGGCAAGAGCAGGGCACAGTGTGACTCAAACACCCCTAAGAATGAGAAACAGGAGTGTGTTCCCACTACCCAGAACCTGCCTGGAGACTTGGGGCTGGGGCCTCACCTGTCTGCTTCCCGGAACAGGTCCCTCTCCCTCTGGGAATGGATGTCCTGGATGATGGCAGCCACAGCCTTCCCGGGTTTCTAGCAAAGTCAGAGAGATCACCATCAGATCAGAGATGGCCTTGCAAACACCAGAGGGAAGCAGCTCTGACCTGGGTCGTTCATTGCCTGGTCCGCCAAAAGGGACAATGTGCCTTGTGTAAGGAAGACAAAAAGTATAATCCAATGGATGAGTGTGAGTGTGACGCTGAACCGGGTAGGGCTGAGCGAGCCAGAGAACACTGAGTGGTCCATCGAGCTGGGGAAGGAAGGAGCCTGGTGTTCACATCCACCTGCTGGGGACAAGCAGCATTTGTTAATACCCACTTCTGCCCAAATAAAAAAAACATTTAAAATATGAAAGAAAGAGAGGGAGAGAAGGATGGAGGGAGGGAGGGAAGGAAGGAAGGCAGGCAGGCATGCATTTTAAACCTGGAGAGACTTGAAGATCATTGATTGCTGTCTCCACCTTTTAGATCTGTGGAAACTTAAAGCCAGAGAGGTTGAGGCAGGGTCTCTGCCAACTTGTGTCCCATGCAGATGGTGACTCTTGGACTTGTGTTGGGTTAAGAAACACTTCAAGGTCACACAGATAGTGAAAAGAATCAGGACCTGACACCAGGTATTTAAACTCCAAGTTTCCTTCCATGCCCTGTGTCCCCATCAACACCTCATGTGCAGGGATCAGCCGATGCTCAGAGTAAATCTGTGAGGAGGATGGCACAGCTGGAGTCAGGCTTCACAGCTGAGGATGGCTGCCAGCCAGAGCTCCACCCTTCCTAGGGATCATTAGATGGGGGCTATGCCGGGACAGGACCAACCCCAGCCCCCCGTTCACAACCAAAGCCCTTTCCTAAACCCAGAATGGACATATGATAACCAAAATAAGTAAATAATAAATGATTTTTAGAAAGAAATTCATAAGCATAAAAGACAAGTCAGGAGCATCTTCCTAAAGACTATGCAGAATTCATCCCTGAGATAAAAATCTACCAAGCAGGGTGAATTTTAAGGAATGTGAGTTATATCTCAATAAATAAAGCTGATTTTTTAAAAAGACTAAGACTAAAAACCCTCAGTCAATGTAAACTTTTGATAATGGCTTTTATTAAATTTAATCAACTGCTTTTTATCCTTGATGTTTTCTATGTAATTTACAAAGAGCAATTTTGTTTTTTTTTAAAGAAACAGGGTCTTGTTCTGTCACTCAGGCTGGAATGAAGTGGCACAATCACAGCTCACTGAAAGCCTCAACTTCCCAGGCTCAAGTGATCCTTCCACTTCAGCCTCCAAAGTAGCTAGGACTACAGGGGCTCACCACCACGCCTGGCTAATTTTTTAGTTTTTATAAAGACTGGGGCTTGCTATATTGCCAGGGCTGATCGCGAACTCCTGGGCTCAAGTGATCCTCCCACCTTGGCCTCCCAAAGTGCAGGGAGTATAGACATGAACCACCACACCCAGCTAAATAATGCAATAAGAGCCATACAAATGTTTAAAAGCATCAGTATCTCATTTGACAGATGGGAAACGCAGGTCCAGAGATGTGATCTAGCTGGACTAGCATGGATGAGTACTCTGAGTGGCGTGGTTGATTATCTGTTATTGTTGAGACAGAGGGTTGGGCTGGGAAAAACACAGAGTAAAGGTGAGAATGAAGGAGGAGCTGCCTCTGCAGTTTCAGGGAGAGAGGTCAGCGCTAGGACACAGGGAAGAGACACAAAATGTTCAAGTGAGAGAGGGACCTCTTGTCATATGGAGATGCTAAATGAAAGAAAGTCAAAGAGAAGGCAGTGACTCCTTTATCTGTGCTTGTGAAGAACTCAGAGATTAAGAAGTCAGCCAACCCCCCATTCAAGAAAAGGCCCAGGAACTTAGCACTGGGCAGGATGTCCACTAGAAAAGGCACCACAACTTTGGCAAATGGTCCCTTATGTCAAATGAGCTGTAGAGATTGACCTTCTGTAAAGCACATGAAGGGGCCACCTGCAAATAACCACATCACCCAAGACTCACACTGGCCTCCAGCACCTCAGCCACTTAAACTGGACCACAAGCAGAGACCCAAGGCCAAACAAGGATAGAAACCAAGGCTGTTGGCATCAGCCAAGAAGAACGCTGCTGCCCAGATGTCTCCTTCTACCCCACCATGTGGCTAGAGATCAGCCAGAGTTGGTTCTCACTTGGGGTAAAAGAAGAAGGCTCATTTGGAGCTGACTGTACTTAATGTGGATCCCACCAAGCAGGTCTTCCTCCTGCCTGTCCATCCTGGGCCACGAAATGGATTCCAGCTACTGTATCATCAAGGGAAAGCCAGCTGGGATGGCTGGTCCCTGAGACGACCTGCCTCAGCACTGCCTTCACACAGGCACCAAGGGAGCAGCAGAGCTTGGGAAAGCTGGTGGGAGCCATCAGGATCAAGACAATGTCATGAGATTTGCCATCTCCAGGGACACCACAAACCAGGTCCCTCCCAAATCTGTGGCTTGCACTGCCAAGCTAGAACAGACCAAGGGTAAAGAATGTGCCCCCAAACTGGGATAAATGTACATGGCAGCTCTTCAGAACATAAAAATAAAATTCCCCATGGGGGTTGGATTGGGAACTTCCTGTTGTAAAAAGAGTCTCCAAGATTCCAGTTTTCTTCTGCTCTTCTGGAACCTCATATCCTCCTGATTATTTCTTCCAGCACAGATCCAGGAAAAACAGAAGTGGGAGGAGGATGCCCTTGGCAGAGAGCGGCTGAGGTTTTGCAAATTACCCAGGACAGAGTGACTGTGAGGGTGGGGCTCAGGCACATGAGGGCAGGAGCAGGTCAGGCCAATGCCAGGGCCAGAGGCATTCCTTGAGCTCTTGGTCCCTTCTGCACCTTGGTTATCACAGACAGCACCCCCAGGCCCTTCCCTTCTGAGTGCCCCCTGATGAGGGGCCGAGCAGGCTGATAAGACACCCCAGATGAAAACATCCTCTAGTGGCCCATGCATTTTCCCAGGGGTCTAAGAGGTGCAGTTAGAGTAGACCTAGAAGAGCCTCTTTTTGGCTTAAACATTCCTCTGCCCCTTATTTTCCTAACCACAGAACCTCCTCCTGGGGTCACTTTCAGCCCAGCACCTCCTGGAGTTACTTCTGTCTGGATCCCAGGTCCCCAGGGAGGGGCCCCCTGGGCTGATGATCTTTATACAGCCAACACCAGCACAGAGCCTGGCATGGAACTGGTGCTCCCTAACACCCATCCCAGGATACATGGCTGGAGAGATGGACGGATGTAGCTGCAGAGAATGAATACGAACCTGCAAATACTACATGGTGGGGCTAGTGCTCACAGGTACTGTGATCCCTCCTGAGCATCAGAGCATCTGTTCTGCTATTTTAGGTGGTAATTGCAAATTGTTTGTGCTCTCTGGACCAACTGCTATCTGAAAAGGGGACAGAAGTAGCCAAAGATTTTTGGATAAGATAATCGACTTCAGAAAGCCCTAAGAAAATTCTCCCCACCTTCTTCTTTGGCCAGCCTCTGTATTCTCTGGTTAAAGGTATAAACAGGGCAGGTGAAACAAAGTTGTAATCACCCCAGAAAAATTGAAATAGGAGAGAATAGAGTGGGTCTATGATAAAATTTTGGTTACCTTATTATAGAGAATTTCAAACATACAGAGAAGTAGGGAGAATGGTTTACTGAACCCCCAAGAATCCACTACCCATCTTCAACAATGCTAACCAGTCTTGTTGCATCTTGACACGATTTTGTTCTGTGCCCCCACCCAAATCTCATGTTCCATTGTAATCCCAAATGGTGAAGGTGGGGCCTGGTAGGAGGTGACTGGATTATGCGGGTGGTTTTTAGTGGTTTAGCATCATTCCCCTAGTACTGCTCTTGTGATAGAGTTCTCATGCGATCTGGTTGTTTAAAAGTGTGTAGCATCTCCCTGCTCCCACTCTTCCTCCTGCTCTGGCCATGAAAGACACGCCTACTTCCCCTTTGCCTTCCGCCATATTGAAAGTTTCCTGAGGCCTCCCCAGCCATGCTTCCTGTACAACCTGGGGAACTATGAGCCAATTAAACCTCTTTTCTTTATAAATTACCCACCCAGGTAGTTTTTTGTTTTTTTTTTTTCAACGGTGTCTCATTCTGTGGCCCAGGCTGGAGTTCAGTGGCACAATCTCGGCTCACTGCAGCCTCTGTCTTCTGGGTTCAAGCGATTCTCCTGCCTTAGCTTCCTGAGTAACTGGGATTGCAGGTGCGTGCCGCCACACTCTGCTAATTTTTGTATTTTTAGTTTAGGTTTCATCATGTTGGCCAGGCTTGTCTTAAACTGTTGATCTCGATTCACCTGCCTCAGACTCCCAAAGTGCTGGGATTACAGACATAAGCCACTGTGAGAATGGACTTCATAGCACTGTGAGAATGGACTAATACACATCTGTACTCACCACCCTCTTTCCCCACCCCCAATATTATTTTGAAGCAAAGGTCAGACATTGTTATCTTTTCATCCATTCTGTGTGATCCTGCTCAACAATCCCACAAGGGACCATCTATAGCGCTCAGAGTTAACCCATCTTGCTGCTTTTAAGACAAGGGTGAGATTCCAAGCCCCATGTGGTCCTAGAAAAGTGCTGTCATATTAAGAGGGAGGCACCACAACTTGGAATCTCAACCCAGGAAGAGCAGCCCCAGCCCTTCCCCCACCTGGTTGGGTCACCCAGGATCAAGGCTCATTGCCTATGGGAAATACTTTCTCCACCTGTAAAGGTGGGTTAATGAGGCCCATCTGGCATCCACTGAAAGCCTCAGGGCATGGCAGGCTATACCCATAAAAGTCACAGAGTGCTTGGCCAACATGAGGGAGCTGCTGGAGAGTTTCATGCCCTCTGACGACTCCACAACTGTTTTACACACTTCAGGAGTCCTGGGAAGATGCTGAAACCTTCCAGATGAGCCCAGAACTCACCTCAGCCCGATCCTGTCGAGGCAGCCCTGACTGTTACAACGTGACCAGGCTTTCTAGGCTCGACATCCTCACTCGCCCTCCTCCTGCCTG